AGTCATGATCCTTCTAGAAACTCATGACGTGTTACCAGAGTCACGTGACTTCCGCTGTCTTAACAATACTTTATGTTTCGAACCGTATCTGAAAAAAATCGCAAGTTCTAAGCCCGAATCTGAAGTTAATACTCCCTCTAACCTCCTACGTAGCATACTAGCCAAGTTATAAATCTGAAGTTAATACTTCCTCTAACCTCCTACGTAGCATATTAGTCAAGTTATAAATCTGAAGTGCCTAGACTACTTCCAACTAGTCAGATGTAGCATACTAGCCAAGTTATAAATCTAAAGTACCTAGACTACTTCCAACTAGTCAGATGTAGCATACTAGCCAAGTTATAAATCTGAGGTACCTAACTACTTTCAACTAGTCAGATGTAGCATACTAGCCAAGTTATAAATCTGAAGTACCTAGACTACTTCCAACTAGTCAGATGTAGCATACTAGCCAAGTTATAAATCTGAGGTACCTAGACTACTTCCAACTTGTCAGATGTAGCATACTAACAAGTTATAAATCTGAGGTACCTAGACTACTTCCAACTAGTCAGATGTAGCATACTAGCCAAGTTATAAATCTGCAAGTTACTGGAAAAATTCGGGAATTTTGCTTATTTAAAAAAACAAAAGTATTAAAATGCGAGTACCGTTGTCTCTACCACAAAGTAAAACACGGTGATTTTCATTTCTAGCTGGTTTTAAACTCAGCATTACTGAACCATACTTAATTATTTGCAGTAATATGTGGATATGTTAATTTATAATACAATTATTATACATAACGTTTTAATTACGTTTAATTGTGTATCTAGATTTCACAACTAAAAGAAAATATCCTTGCAGATATAAAATCGTATGATGAAAAACGTGTACTTAAATTAACTGAGATTAAACGGCTTACCTCACAGAGCCAGATCAAAGGGAAAATGGTGTCATGTATATTTTGTAGTCCTCTGTATTGGAATAATACCATAAATATAAAAAATTCGAATTAGTTTATTGTAATACAAATACCACTACTATGCGATTAATTATCCAAAGAGAAACTGCTTCACCATTTTGAAAACATACTATATCCGATTATTCTCGAAAAGACTGAAATGGTTATCGAATATTTAAAAAAATCACGAATCGATAAATATATTAAATGAACTAACGATACACAGAATATACCATGTAGTAATGAATACATTCAGTTGAATGAGTCTTAGCTCTTTTATTTTATTGACAGCACTAGATCTCTTACATGGCAATCTTTGAAAAATAACTTAAAAACATCGAACTGGTAGAGCACTTACATGATTCCAGGTGTTTGACGAACATATATATTTAATTGAAGTCTCTTGGAAGCGTTCAGTACTAATCCTGTGAGCTGGAAAAAAAAAAAGATCGGACACAATTAGGCCTAAACTATAGTCGAGCTCTTGTAAAAAGTAGTGAAGGAGTATAATGTTCAACACGTTTACTGGAGTGTGACTTAGTTCGACAGATACCTCAAGCCTAATAGCCTGTTCCACTATAGTTCTTGTCCCGTCAGACTTGTTAATTCTATTGTTAGTGACATCAATATACCCCAAGCCCAGTAGCTTGTTCCACTATAGTTCTTGTCCCGTCAGACTTGTTAATTCTATTGTTAGTGACATCATTATACCTCAAGCCCAGTAGTTTGTTACACTATAGTTCTTGTCCTGTCAGACTTGTTACTTGTATTGTTAATTACATAAAGACACCCGAAGACCAGTAACTTGTTCCTCTATGGTTTTGTCCCGTTAGATTTGCTACTGGTATTATTAGTTTCATCAAGACACCTCAGGCTCAATAACTTGTGTTCTATAGTTTAATCCGTCAGACTTGTTACTTGTATTGTTAGTGGCATCAAGACAACCCAAGCAACCACTGAGAAAATAGTCCAGCATGAGGTTACAAAGAATTTATCTCTATAAAAAATGCCTTTAAAAAAACGACTTCAGAATAAAAGAAAAGAACCACGCAAGATGACCATAATATATCTCAGTTTTAAGCCCCTAGGACATAAGAATCATTACCAGGGCCAAGATAACGGAACAAACCATATGGCAAACTTGTCAGAATAAACCAGAGCTAAGAACGGGGTTGATTGGACAGAACTATTTGTACCCTGACAATGATGAGAAAACATCAGGACTTCATTGCGTTCACAACTTCCGTTTTTTTGTGCCTCTTATGATTTTGTATGGACATTTCTTTTTCATATAGTAGAAAAAAAATGTGGCTTAAATCTACATACATCGAATTCATCGTGTCTATTTAGTTGTTTCTGTGACACTTCCTTGTGTCTCAGTTGGGTTAACATATTTAATACTTAGTCATTTAATATAACATACAACATATACAAAGCAAATAGTCAAATACAAATTAGGGATTCTTACCGGTTCAACATCTAGAAAGGTTTCATGTTTCTTTTTAATTGGCTTAATTCCGTCAATAGCACTTTGATACTCCAGCGCCCCTTGATAGAAGTGAGGACCAGAAGCAACAACTGGTGCACCTGAAGTTCGAAACACTTACGGTTATAGTATTACATATATTTAAATCACATACACTTGTTTACATTTGATAAAGTTAGAATTACACTTCATAATGAGGAAAATATTTTACATAAACACCTTGCATTGTAAGATATCCTGCACACAGACAATAATGCTGTTGTAATTTAAAGTAATTACTTTTCACCAAACGAAAACACTGCAAAATAATTTTTAATCAACTCTCATACATGATCCAATAATTTAAATTTCTATGTATAGACTCTATAAAAAGAGAATGTTAATAGTAAAAAAGAGAAAAGTTTGGTAAGGAATATTTCTGTATTTGAAATATGATACAACTTCTTGATGCACAGAACTTCAGTGGCATAAAATGTAAAGTATCATCGAACCATACTGTACATAAAATGTAAAGTATCATCGAACCATACTGTACATAACATGTAAAGTATCATCGAACAATACTGTACATAAAATGTAA